CCTTGTTGCTACTTCTTGCCTCATTTAAAGTGCCTGAGGAAAAAGCCTCCGATTTAAAAGGGAAAAATTCTATTTGGGAAATTGAATACAGTATGAAATGTTTCCTTTTGCAAATATTTGGACGGCTTGACTGGGCTACAGGCCGCTGTACTGGCCAGTCTGTGAAATGTTGCTTAATACAATTAAGCGCTAGTGATTAGTGAGTTGGAGAAGAAATCACATATTTTCGCTCTTCCCCTTCTGCTTTTCTTTTTCTCGCACACGCACACAAACTGCAAGATATTTGTTCAGGCCTGTGTTGACAGACGGGTAAGTGGCCACCATTTGGAGGGCCACTTCTGAAGCGGGTGCTAAAAGGCGGCTCCGGCCTGCACAAATGGAGCGGGGCTCATTAGATGCTGGGCCTTTAACACAGAGCAGTGAAGGAGCTGTCAAGCAGCCAGCAACATAAACACACACATACAGCACAAACAATCTGCTCCAGCCAGTCCCATTTGCTCTTAAAGTGAGGAAGTATTCTTGCTATGCAAAGGATTTGCCTTTTCAAGAATAACAACAACATTAGTGCTGCAAATTCATCTAAAGTCTAGAAACAGAAAATGTATGTAGTGCTTTTAAGTCATGGATAAGCAGTACAAGACTTTTAAGCCAAAACAAACAACGAACATCAAAATTCAATTGTTGGCTTATTAAACAGCAAAGCCTCATTTAGCACAGGGAAGCCAAAAGTCATACAGTTAGCCGTGTTAGCTCGCAAAGGCAACTTAAGGTAAACTGCAAGGGCTGAGAAAGCAATCTGCACACCTGCAGCTGATAAAAGAATGCAGCAAAGACAAAATCACAACTGCTTTCAAACACAAAACACATGTTAAAACAATAAAATAAATGAGCAGACTGACTTAATTTAGGTCACAAACTTTTTCACCTTTAACTGTTCGAACATCCCTGGTCAAATGACATGTTTTGTTGATTTTCTAAGTGAAAAGAAGTTAACACACCCTCTATTAGAACACACTTCTGTACATTTCTGCACAACTACTGTTTATTTGCTGAATTTAATATATTGAAAAAAAAAAAACAATGAAATATGAAATGGGCAATAACTTTCACACAGTTCACTTTTTTAATTCAGTGTTAAAATCAGTAAATAAGCAGTAATTTTGCATTAAAATGTGCAGAAGTATGTTGTCTGCAGAGGATGTCTTAACTTATTTTCCTTTAGAACATCAACAAAACATGTAACTCAACCGCAGTGCCCAAACTTTTACATACGACTGTATGTTTACACTCATAGCACAAAGTAATCTTCCTAGTCCTGAAAAACAACAACAAAAAAAAAAGTCTAAAGAAAGAAATCATCACAGCTTCTTCACTATAAACAGAGTAGTATCAAGTTAATGAACTTCTACTTTGAATAGCAAAGAGGCCCACAGCTGGGGAGAGTGAAGAAAAAAAAAGGGCCACTTCAAGACTGGATTGTCCATGTAATCTAATTGGCCGTAAGCGCTGCTCCACCAGTGGTGGCCACTGCCTTCTAGACGTCAAAGGGGAAAACAAATGTACTTTGTGACAAACCAAAGGCTTGCCTGGTGGCCAGAGCAGACAAAAAAACAAACAAAAAAGCAACTTATGCGTTGTGAAAGGCCAGCTACAGTAATGTGGCACACATACCGAAGCAAACCAGCCAGCACAGCAGAATGCTAACGTTAATCCACCCCAGATTTACTCTTGCCTTCAAAATCTAATATTAGAATCCTTGTGCCTCACCATTCACAAGGCTTGTATTACATTACCTCTTTGTTTTCCTCCTATAATTTGAATTGAGGAGTCGAAATCCTCTATCTGGAATCGAGTTTATAACAACTCTGTGCAGTCTGCCCTGCTCATGGGTTAAATTTAGGGCTGTACATTGTGGCCTTACAAGGTTTTCTCATAACATTAGTGATGCACTGCATCATCAAAACCTGCTGAATCAAACTTATTTTTACAAACTTCTGTATAATTAAATCATTAAGATAAAGCCACTGAGAGTGGTCTGATGTGAAATAAGCAGTTCTAGAGAAATTTGCAAATTCAGAATTGTTCACAGTGGTGGTGACAGAAACCAGACAACTGAAGAGTTCTCTATAAGCTCCTACAGAAAACCATTATTTGAAATGGTTAGGAATAGCTGAGACGTTGTTTTAAGGTTTTGGCCTAAAACATTTATTTTTTTAAGCCCATTCAGTCAAAATATACCCAAAAGGAAAAATAGTGCCCAAAGAAAAGTTGCTTTTTCAGGTTTATAACTATATTAGCATTATCAACATTACATAGAAAATCTCAGAAGATGCCTGCAGGTCCACTGGCCTTTTTATAATAATTAAAGTAGCTTTGTACACATCGCACTGTAAACATTGTGACCCCTGGTTCCTACCACCACCACTGTAAAGACAACTTGAGATAAAAACGTTTCTCTAAAATGAATCACTTTATATCCAACCACTCTGAAAGACTTTGTTTACAACGACTGAATTATACAGACATTTTGAAAAATCAGCGGAATTCCCCTTTAACTACTCTCATGTTTTCACTCTATTCTGTGTATAATGGTAAAAAATATAATGAAATGGGTGTTCCTTGCTCTCCATCACATTTATGGTGAAATCGCTATCACACACCATCTTAGATGATGATGTGTTCAGTCTAAAAAAAAACACCTCTTCAGTGGTGAGACATCTATCCTAAAGACAATTACATCTGACCTTTATTTAAAGCCACAAATCTTTCCTAAGGAAGAGAAGCGGGGTTTGTAAATGGCGGTAAATTATAAGACAGATCTAACGAACTATGCAGGAGAACCAGAAGAGGCAGTCTGGGCTGGACCATCTGGAATGAACCTGCAGTACAGCATTCTGTTCCTCTAGCAAAGCTGCCAACGGTCGAGATACGAAGCTCAGAGAGGCAAAACAGATTTATGTACGTTCAGGGAAAGAAACGAAACAAGAAGAAACAAGAATGACACATGGCCTGATACTAATAACTAAAGTCATCGGTAATCTATCAGTGACAATCTATCAGTACAACAGTAAAAATGAGTAGATAAAAATATATGTTGCCATGATACTAATGAACAAAAGAGTAGAACCAATAGAAAATAGGAAGTTCTGTTGTATTGATGATATATCAATACAACTAGTAAAAACTAACAACAAATACTGTCGTTCTGATACTACTGTATCAATACAACAATACAACAGTAAAAACTAATAAACAGAAACTACTGAATAGTGTTGTTGATTCTGTTGTATCAATACGGAAAAAAGACCTAATTTCCAAAAAATAAATATGCATTGGGAAAAAAATTATACATATCTTCTTTCTTGTAGAAACTGAGCATTAGCATTATGGAGAAACACAGAATTTATTTTGGTAGGTGTAAAACCCAGTGTTGCCTAAACATTCTGCTCTTACAATAAAGAACATATATCAATATAAAATATCAATCCATCACTTTTTTACACTACATGTTTTATCTACCAATACTGATATGATTCTGATATTATTTGTCTCTAAAAAATATTCTCAAAAAACATAAGTACATTGGGCCACATCCACCAATTATTCTTAAGAACAAACTTCTTCTTAAAACACACTTACACTGTTTTTATGAATTTTGTGTAATTCACCAAAGTTATTTGGGATTTGTTCTTAGGTAAAAACAGAATCTATATACACTCAAGAGCACAAAGGTGTGAACAATTCTGCGGTTTAAGAACACGTCATAAATCTGACGTAGACTTTTTCTTAAGACCTTTATCAAGAACAAATTAAGGGGTAAAACTTAGGAAGATATTTGTGAATGAGGCCAATGGTTTTAAATACTAAATCTAATTAAACTGGACTAACTATTCTCTCTTTGTAATGAAACATGTAGTTGGTTAGTGTTCTTTAAGCACTGATAATGTCCACTCAGAACAGCATATCGCTGCTGTCTCCAAAATGAGAACTTTACAGGAGAATGAAAAAACATGCTCTACTTTCAATGTAAGTCAATGGAACCAGACTTTTTTCCAAGTAATTTTGGGTCATTTCTTTTGGTCCATTCATCATGAAATTTACACACAATGTACAGGACACTGGGTACTTTCAAATTATGTCAAAAACTAAAAAATGACAAAAATGGAGATACAAGGTTTTGCTCCGACAGCAGCAATATAATTGTGGTACATCAAATCTAACCATCTGACAATCACTTTTTAAGCAAAAAATCGGCCGATTTCAATATGATTTTGATACTATCATGCATCCGCACTATAAATCTGACAAAGAAAAGCCTTCCCTTGGCGGGAATATGCAAACTTCACCCTGTCCAATAGCAGTCCAGTTTGAAACTCTAAGCAGCCTGCCTAGGTGGAGATTACTGACCTGTACTGTCATTTCAGCTTTCCTTATGAGACACAGAGGGACAGAAACAGCCTGCGGGCTTTAAGTGGAGAAGTGCCACAGGAATGAACAGAAGAGTGACCAAATGAAAGCTGTATCACCTTTTATCAATAGCCTACAATTAGGGGAAAAACTCATTAGCTTATGAGAGTTAAGTAAGGCACTGGCTGAGTTCATGTAAATACTGCACAGTACTATGAAGCCAAGACGGCATGATTCAAAACGGTTACTGTAACAAGCCTAGCGGAGTCATAGCATTACTTCCAGAGTAAATTATGAGTCAGATCTCAGTGTTTCGGTTGCTGAGTCAGTATCATAGGTTTTGAGGCAGACTAAGATTATTATCCATTTCCACACCAGAGGCACCAAAATACAGCTTCGGTGAAGGTATAATCAGCCTGAACTTACATTGTGACTTGTGACATTTAGTTTTATTGGTTAAATAAGGGCTATTTTTAAATTGAAACTCATTTCTATGAGTTAAAAAGGATGACAGGGTGTTTTAGGAATGTTTTTATTGTTGGCTACATTTATATGCTGGTGAAAGAAGTAACAAGTTAGCACAAACCTCTTACCTATAAATGTAGCTGAGGCGTTTTGACCCAAGTTTCTTCTCAAACCGTTGGCCCTGTTCTCTTTCTCTTCTCCTCTTGACAGTCCTAGGGAAGATTAAAAGTTCTTTTCTCATCCCCAAGAACAACCATGTGAGGAAAGAAGGCACTACTTTGAAAAACTTAGCTAAAAACAATGACATTTTGCTCGCCCAGGCTGAGGCTAACTGCACGGCAACACTGAGGAGACTCCGGGTCTCGAGCTACGGAGGCTACAATGCAACGATGCAACTTGAATTGAAATTCAGCGTTAAAACTTTTCCCCCCGCTGCCTCAAAACACAAAAACGGCAAAGTCTCGTCCTCTTTGCTCACAAGCAGACACGCACAATATAACAAATCCATTCGCATTTCTCTCCACCATCCCACCCCACGCAGGGAGCTCCGTGGAAAAATGCGAAATATGACAAAGATCTGAAAACTTCACGGCGTGAAAAACTCCAGCAAAAGACACCGAGACAAAAGACAACAGGCAGCTCCAGCTCAAACACTCACCTTTACTGAGGGAAAACGCGTCCAGCAGTTCAGGAGAACTGGACCAAATATCATTAATTCAAAAGCTGGCTTTTGTTTTTTCCTGAGCCCCTTATTGTTTTCAGTAATATCTCTCCCCGGTTTGACAGTAAAGGTGGAATGCGAAGTATGGGTTTGGTATGAAATTCACGCACTTCGCTGGAAAACGAAGGAGGGGGGAGAGGAGTGGAAGGAGGGGCTTTTGTTGAACGTCAATCAACAAAGTTGGGGGCAGAGACTTCTCCAAAATCTCCTCCCTCAGTTTAGAAACCGCTGTGGGCCGGTGCTGTACATTCAGCAACAGGCTTGATAGGCTTTTAGCGCTTAACTACAGCACAAATGTAATGTTGTATATCCAGAAAAGAATGAAAATACAACAAAATCCTTCCCTCATAGTTTATGAACTGCTGTAGGTCTGTGCTGTACATTCAACAACAGCCCTGATAGGCTTTTAGCCTTTAAGTACAGCAAAAATGTAATGTTGTATGTCCAGAAAAGAATAAAAATACAACAAAATCCTTCCCTCAAAGTTTATTAACTGCTGAAGGTCAGTGCTGAACATTCAACAACAGGCCTGATAGACTTGTAGCAGTTAGCTACTGCAAAATGTAACGTTGCATGTCCAGAAAAGAATAAAAATACAACAAAATCCTTCCCTCAAAGTTTATTAACTGCTGTAGGTCTGTGCTGTACATTCAACAGTGGGTCTGGTAGGCTTTTAGAACTTAACTACAGCAAAAACGTAATGTTATATTCACAGAAAAGAATAAAAACATAATAAAATTCTTCCCTCAAAGTTGATCAACTTCTGTAGGTCTAACTACAGCAAAATAGTGTAAAATGTACAATTAAATATTTTGTGTATGATGAACTAGTCTCACACTGAAAACAAGGATACATAAAAAAATCCCTCAATCACATTTTATTAACTTCTGTAGCCTGGAATATACATTCAACACCATCCCTGATAAGCTTTAGCAGTTAACTACTGCAAAGATGTAATGTTTTCTTTACAGTGGCGAACTAGCCTAACATTTAAAACAAGAAAAATACAACAAAACACCTCCTTCAAAGTTTATTAACCGCTGTAGGTCTGTACTGTTTAAAGCACACAATTCAATAATCAGTAGTTATGTACAGGCAACTTTTTATTTACAATGATGAACTATGAAGTTTATTTAGCCTGTACAGCCAAATCTCACTGGGCTGTAGACTCAATACATTTCAGAGGATAACTATAACAAAGCATAATGTTTTATTTATGAGCCAAACTATGCCGTATGTTTAACCTAAGATTGAAAAAAAGAAAGTAGGTCCTAAGAAAACACATGAATTATATTTTGTTTAAGTATAATGCGTCAACTTACCACAAGTAAATAGTTTACACACTTATCAAAAGTTATGATTATGTGCTGAATCCTGTATCTTAGATTAAAATACTCCTGTACAGAAACAAAGCACAAGCATTTGTGACCCTGAACAAATTTGGATGCAAGCTCAGTGAAGTCGTGAATGAAAACGCAAATTTGAGCAGCTCCCAAACCCTTAGAAGGCCATAATTGTCCAGGAATTCAGAGAGAATTTGTGCGCATTCCAGACCGATGAGTGTGAACAGTGAAAGCTCCCACTGGTTAGCCACTTCGTCTCAAGAGAGTAGAGGAGTTAAACTTAGTGATGTAATTCCCTGGAAGACGGCCTAAAAGTATAACGCGCTTTCTTTTGCAAGCTGCCTCTGTCTCTGCTCCCCCATTCAGACTTTTAGAAGTGCAGAGCTCCTTCTATAGGCCACATTCAGAACCTACAACCATTCTAAAGGTTGGAGATGTCAGGGAATTACTAACTCAGATTATGTTATGGAGAAGACTTCAGGAACACTTTTGAGGCCCTCACGTCTGTCTTTGGCAAACCTCCGTGCAAAACTTTCTGGAACCTGTGTGCTTGGGCAACTAACCGAGCAGGCTGAGGCAGGTCATTCCTTTTCTGCCCCGAGGGCCTCGGCACTCAGACAGGTTTTTCATGCCCAGTGCCATCTGCAACAGGAGTGCTTTTGTAAATCTAAACTTTGTTTTTTGTTTTGTTAATCACAATCTTTAAATAGAAATTCAGTCCAAGAGTGCCAAGCTTGAAGTGACTATGTCCTATTTTAAAGTCAATGTGAGTCAGAAATCAGAAGATTTTCCTTCCATATCATGATGTATTTGTAAGTGAAACCATATCAGGAAGGGTCTCTAAGCTTGCTGTTCGTTTTCTCTTTATGATAGGTGGGGGTGGTGGCGGGAGGGGGGGGTTTATTGTTAATTAATAATAATTTTCTCTGCTCACTGGTACACAGTGAGGCAATCTACAATTAGATGTTTTAGAGACACGTAAACATTACTATGCTTTCATGGAACATTAAAGGAAAACAAGACTTTTGTCATTTTGCTTAATATGACCAGAGACATAAACTAACAAGGTGAAAAAAGGTCTATTTCTGTATCTTTCTAACTATAATATTTTCTTTTTTGAGTTTGAGCCTAATTATTTTAAAAAGATACCAAAGGAAAAAGACAGGGAAATCAACAAAGAGAGAGGGACCATTGTTTATGCAAGTACTTTTATTTCATGCCAAATTACTATATACTACTCCTTACATTAACTGTATATTCTCCTACAGATGGAAAGAAAGATGGTGTATCTATGACAGTCTATATCTTAATAACCCACAGTCTATATCTCAATAACTCACAATAACCCAAACAAGGGTGCAATGAAATATAAAAGGCAATCCACGCAAATCAAAGAAACAAAAATGGAAGTTCACTATGACAACAAAAGGTGGTACAAACTTGGAAATGAAGAAATGTTTCAGGAAATAATGATACCTATTTGGGCATGTGCAAAAACCAGAATGAGAAAAAAAAGAAGAGAGCAGGAATTCACGAGTCTGCACATGCACAGAACATGCAGACAAGACACACATGATTTGTGACACACACACACCCACACACGCACACACACACATGAAAAGAGGGAAAAACAATGCAAAAAAAAACATTTATGGCAAAATACATTAAAATCAATCAGAGAAATGTATTGGAAAGTGTCTTAAACAGGGATCAAAAAAATAATTATCGCAAACCACAACAATAAAGTCTCCATTATTCCTCACACTGGCCATTTTCTTGGAATCTGTCATGGTATGTTTAAATTATACTGTCTTGTGTTTCTCTACTTTACTGTAAAATCAGGAGAAGAGTTGTATATGCATTAAAGAAATGTTATCGGGAAAACAGTGTAACATCTAAACAGCTATTGCAGAGTTTCTTGATGCAGTCATAACTTCTGATTGTTTCCAAATGGAGTATTTCACACATCCCCCAGCCCCCAAAAATTATACCAGAGAATAGATAGCCTATGTTTCATTTTATCTTCCCTTAATGCAAAGTATGTCATGTGCACCACCTGAGATTTGACAAGAGCCTCTTCAAGGCCATCCTCTTATTCTGTAGAGATTTAAACCTTAATCTTTACTCTCATTCGAAGATCCTCTCAGTGACACATAGAAGAATCATGCTGAAGAGCTTGTCGTGGGTCGTGTCGCACACCGTGTTGAAGGCTGGAAGCTTTTACTCACAGGCAATTTTGCCGTCAAAGCTGGAGAGGGCAATGGCAAAGGCCTGCACTGCACACAGAGGGTAGTTATAGTCCAGAGTGAAGGCATCATCAGCAACTCTTCCAAACTGCATCACGATGTAGTCCTCTGCAATCACATGACATACATGTGGTGTCAAATTTGACAACACTACATTTATTGTCATCACGCAGTTAACGTACTGATAGTAAAAAGGTTCTGTGGTCTATAGCTATGATGTCTAAAACAAAGTTGTTGACCAAGAACAATGCCATAGACCAGTATTTCTCAAACCTGGGCCTGGAGGCTCACTGCCCTGCACATTTTAGTGCTTACACTGCTTTGACATGACCACTTCAACTCAATAAGGGGCTGTTAATGAGCAGATTAGTTGGATCAGTTGTATGTTGGGAGAAGGAAAAATACTAAATCGTGCAGTGCAGAACACCACCAGGACCAGGGTTTGGAAACTCTATGGTTAATTGCAAAGTGTCCCTGAAGAAGGCAATTATGGTGGACAATGTGATGATATTATCATGGATATCATCCATGCTTAAAGAACAATGAACAGCTGCATATTTCATTAAAAAGACAACATAATTAGTCCTGTTTAACTGTATTTGGTGTATGCAGAAAGTGAAATTTTGAACAAAAAAAATCACTGTACTTGTTTTTATTATATTTTTGCCTTATTGGCAACCCCTACCCCAACATGATCTCATTACATTCCACATTATATATTATAAACAGAATGTATTGTAGTATATTTTTCATATATTTCTTCTATGTGGTATTACACCTCAAAAACAAAGAAAGGATGGAATCCTGCTTACGGTCTTTGTTGTGTATAATCTGGAAGTTTTTAATGGAGGCCTGTGTGACCCTGCCGTTGAAGTTGAGTACGTGGGATGCTGTCTCCTCATTCCACACAGGTGTTTTGTTGCGCAGCTCTATCAGGTTCTCCATGTTTCTGTTCTGGTGGCGAATCAGAAGGCCGTCGTTTTCCTGTTGAGACCAAGACAAGACAACTCTCGATGTGTTTGAGTATTATTAATGGCAGGTAGACCATTTATTTGTAACTTTCACTGACTGAATTAAAATGTCTGCATTTTCTTAACTTACTCAATTCACAAATCACATTTTACATTCAGTGCTTGTGCAATACTGGATGAAGACAATAGGGGGTAGTAGATAACCAAAGCACAGTGAGAAATCCCACTAAGGCCACTGTAAGAGAAACATGTGCCATTAAGCAAAAATGCTGCTGTATTTTGCTTACACTCCGTGGTCGTAAAGGTACTCGGTCTCCCTCCTTGCTCATGCCAGGAATGACGACAGTCATCCGTCTCGGACCTTTCATTCCTAGCACATTGGTCTCCTGGAAAACAACCAAGAGACAGATATGATCTCCTGTCTAAGCATATAAAAGCCTCATTTCATCCTCATCCATATTTATTTGGGATCAAGGTCGACTAAGCTGAGGAGACTGTAGTAAATGTCTTACATAGATAATGGCTGCTAACTCCTGCCTTGCA